GCATGACCTCATGGATTGAAGAGATCTGGTGTACCAGCTTGGGGCAGTGGTATCCCATGGTCCTAGGACACGTTTCTTAGGCACAGCTTGAGACAAAGTCCTTGGATTTTTATTCCTTAAAGTTATAAAGCCAAGAGGGGGAAGCTGGGAGGTTGTAGCCATTGTAGACCTGAAAGCCAGTGTCCTGGGGAAGGGCAACACCAGACTGAGGACACCAGAGACTCATTAGCATCAGCAAGGCTTATTCTTCATGGAAGGGAAGTAGCATGATTTGAAGGGTACTCCAAGGCAGCCTCAACATCCCTTAATACAGCCTTGCCAAATGTCAAATGTCTGCCCACGTTGACTCTCTTTGGATTTAAAGCAAAAAAAAAAAAAAGTCCCAGATAGTAAAATCAGTTTCACAGCACAGCACATTGAACTATTGTTCTGTAGGGGCTGAGCTTTAAGGAATCAAGAAGATGGGGGCGGGGGAAGGACTTTGGAATGTAATTTGAAGGTTTGAGGGTCCCACAAAAGGGACTCTGAGTCGGGTGCTATGTAAACAAACACTTGGCTTCTACCCTTGAGGGATTCATAAAGAAATGGCATAGACGAAGTTGGTTAGAAGTCAGTGATGAGATGGGAAATGGCGCAAAGACTGTGGGGGCGCAGGAGAGGTGTGCTCTCCTCTTAAGTGCTTGACATCGGTTCGCCCAATTCCAGTTTTTAGTGAGATCTGATTCATTCTTCTGCCCTTACTTCTCAGAGCCTTCTAAGCAGAGAAGAAATCACTGAGCAGTGTCCTTGGACCTCCTGAAATGGCCATTTTCCCCCAAAGGATGCTTCTAGACAGCAAGCTTCACCTAAAGCCTTACAACCCTGCCACTCCCTGAAAGCCAAGCTAAACCCTCTGATGAGGGAAGCTTGCATTTCCCTGTCTGAAAACCTTCATACTCAAGAGCTTTCTTACATCCAGCTAGGCTTCCTCCTACACATCCACCTCTCCCCACCCACAGTCCTCTAGACTTACGAAAGGATTTGCTTATGAAGCTTCAAACCTCTGCCTGGGTTCCACTTTCCCCAGACCTAACCTCTGGACCAACCAGTGAGCTCCTACTTAACCACTGGCTTCCGGCCTTCAGGCCCACCTGCCCATAAAGTGCAAAGCAGCATGGGAAGGAGGTTAGCACAATGGGCATCAGCCCCTCAGTGAGGGCAGGAAGGAAGCCTGCACCCACCTCCGGGCATTTGGTGGTGAATCACCTAGAGAGGTCCACTCCCCCACACCGGACACAAAAAATACAAAGGCCCTTCCATTACTGAACTCAGTTCAAAGCCTCAACCCATAGAGGCCGCCTTCATATGCAGCCAGTTGACCCTTCCCAGTCTTCCTTTCATGCATGATCTATAGAGGCGGTAAATGGCATTCAACTTGGTGAAAGCACCAGGACTTTATGCAATGAGCCTTTTCTTACTTCCTATGGTCATTTTATTTGTTTTGGTTTTTTTTCTAAGTCATTCCTTTGACTCCTCTCTGACTGCCTGTGTGCCCCTCCAAGGGACTGCTACCTTAACACGGAGATTCCTAATTAATCTGGTTGTGTCCCCTGAAACAGTTTAAACATTCATGTCTTGTTCAATTACACACACAGGGCCCTGTACTTGAATCACCATTAGCATTTTGTTAATATGTGTTGAACTGAAATGAAAGTCATTAAATACACATAATGAACACAATTCTTGGAGAAAGACTGGAGGAAGAGAGAATATGATCTTGTTTGTTTGTTTTGTCAGCCATTGCTCAATGCCCAGCCTAAACCAGTGGTCCCACAGTATGCTCAGCATTCACACAATCTGGAAACATCTTTTTAAAAAAGCTTTCATTAGTGCTTTGAGAATTTCCTACACTGTATCTTGATCATAGCCATCGGAGTCCCCTAACTCTTCCCAGATCACTCCTCAGCTCCTTATCCACCCACCCCCGCCGTGTGGTGTATGTGTGTGTGTGTGTGTGTGTGTGTGTGTGTGTGTGTGTGTGTGTGTGTACACTGAGCTCAGTTTGACTTGGTCAGCTACTCCTGGGATGTCCACCATTAAAGAACTGACTCTGTTTCCTATCAGCAATCAAATACCAATAGATCCTCAGCTAGGCTTGGGACTTCCTGTTCTTCCCCTCCTCCAGGCTGGCCTGAACTTGTGCAGGTCTAGAGCAGGCTGTCACAATCCCTGGAGTTCGAATGCTACCTGCTCTGCTGCGTCCAGAAAACACTGTTAGCTTGAAGTCTTCCACCAGCCCCATCTCTTAAAATCTTTCCACCCCTCTCCCTGTTCTGCATAGATCTTTGAGCCTGGGGGGGCAGGATGTGATCCATATATCCCATGTAGGGCTGAACCCCCCAAAGTAATATATTCTCTCCACAATGAACAGTTGTGGACCTCTGACATATACAAATTCTTGGTTCTACCCTAGACCAACTGATTTAAAAATGAGATACTGTACTCAACAGGTTTTTATTCGGTATACCCTACAAGTGACTCTGGTGTGTATTTCAGTTTGAGAACTGCTATCCAAGTGTTAGGGCCAAGCCAGAGTGGTAGCATTCAATCATGTTAATGTTATAATGAAAACCATCGTATTTATATCAGGCCTTTCAGCTAAAGAAATGTTTCTCCACTGCCAGCCCATCTTCCCGTCGCAGTTGTTACTGCTGCCAGTAGATACAGTGAGAAATGCTATCGAGCCCTGTTTCATGCCTACGCTTACAAACAACCAAATCTATTCAAACAATATGACTAAAACACATAGAATCAAGGAAGCAATCTGACCCAAGCTCTTCCACAATAAAATAATGCCCTAGCCAAGTCACAGTTCAGGAACCAGAGATGAGACTAGCTGCTGTGCAATAAACCTCAGTATGATCCTGAGAATCTGGGTTTCTAAGGAGTCTGTGTCAGTCCTTAGGATAATTTAGGACCATAGTTTGTACTATGTCTATTGGAGAAACACATGAGTAGATTGTACTTTTTGTTTTGTTTTCTGGCAAAATGCTCAATTTCTGATACCCCTATATGACACCCCTTTTCATAGCACCAAGATAGATGCCTCATGCAGTAAAAATTCTGGAAAACTGAGACAAAGTAGGCCTGCCTAAAGTCTTGTACATTTGGATAACTGTCTGATGTGCCCTGGTGTTCAGTGTCTAGACCCCAATGAGTCAAAAGTCAACGATGAGGGAGTGAGGGGGAAATTTCTCCACAAAGGGCAGCATGGCCAGTGAGGGGTCAGAGGAACAAGTTCAAGAGCAGGTAAGAGCCACATTGTCCATCACCTAGGCTGGACTGAAAGTTCCCAAGATACCATCCAACTCATGGAAAAATATTCATTAGGACAGGTGGCCTAGAACAGGTAGGCAGAAGCTGTGCCTTGAAGATGGATCTCCATGTCCCTTATGCTTGGTGCGTAGCCAGCACAGTTTTCCTCCTGATTTAATGCCCAGGACAGAGGCTTTTGACCTTGTTTGTTTGTTTGTTCTAAGGGAAGTTATCTGTCCTGTTGAAGATATCTTGGGCCCCTGAGGAGAAATTGGGAGGTGGTTCTGAATGTGCTAAGTCAGTGGGTGATAATAGGCACAGTGTGCCCAGCAAAGGCACTTCCCACCCTTGCCCATATGTATTGTTAACTGGTCACACTGGCCTGGTCTCAGCTGTCCCTTCTCACTGGCTGTCTCCTCATGACTCCCTGCACGATACTGGCTGCTCTTCGGTAACCTTCATGGGGTCCCAAGCATTTGGGCTCAATCCTTTCTGCTCCACATAAATGTCTAGAGTTCTTATACCTCCCCACCCTAAGCTATATCGCCATATCCGGTCCTTGGTGTGGAAGGCTAGTTAAGCTAGACAATGACACTGTCACCATAAGGTTGCAGCTCCAGCCATCAATCAAGGCCCCACACAGAGGAAGTGATGATTGGATTTCTAAGCTTTGTTGGATCCTGGCTGCTCTTCACATAAGCTGAGTCGTTCAAGTCAAGCCACTGAAATGCTCTTTATGGCCTTCTTTTTGGGATTTCGACATCTCACTTCTGAAATTAACCCACCGTGGATCGTAGAGTTGGAAGTGTTGCAAATCTAACGGACACCTACCCCTTAACCTCAAAGCCTTTGCGTGTGCCATTCCCCTGCCTCAAACAGGGTCTCCTTTCTCTCCCCTAACACTTGAGTCTCCGCTTGACCTAAGTTTGCCTTGAGTCTCGGCTTTTCTAAGAACCTGTTTGTGCTTTTTAGACCAGGGTCAGGTCTACGGATTCAATAATTATCTCTCTAAGCGTGAGAGTCCGGAAAAGGCCATGCGGGATGCTAATTAGCTGGTGTAGGCTCCTGCGGTAAGAAGCCCTGTGAGGGGTGAAAATGGACAGATGGCTTGATTCACCTTGGGACTTCAAAACCTGCTAAGGCACCTGCCACACACTAGGCACCCGGCAGATGCAGGTCTGATTAGATCTGTGTGGTCAGAATGAAGTATAGAATCAGTCCAGAGGGCAGAGGTCAAACCAGGGAAGTAGCTAAGACTCGGCTTGCCACGTACTCTAGTGTCCCCACCCCGGCCTGACACAGTGTCCTAGTGAGTTCTCAGCTTGCTGTCTTTCATTCTCTGATCTGTTAGAGAGAGGAAAACTTGGGGTTGCCTAGGCGGGACAGCCACAGACAGGGCCTAGTCCCTTCTGACCTTCCTCAGCCAGAGACCCTCTCCTTTTCCTCTTTCCTGTTTGTGTAAAATACCGTTCTATAGTTGGGCAAGCTGGCGCACACCTTCAGTCCCAGCTCTTGGAAGGCAGATGCAGATGGATCTCTGTGAGTTTGAGGCCAGCCTGGTACACGGAGTGACTTCTAGGACAACAAGGGATACACAGAGAAATCCTGTCTTGAAAAATCAAAGGAAGGAAGGAAGGAAGAAAAGGGGGAGAAGAAAAGAAGGTTCTATAGTTTAAGAGGAGGAAGACAAGGGGAGGGACCATATGTCATCTTTTGCCTTCATTTTAATGAAAAGAAAAGGAACTTCAGGGGGAAGGGATATTTTCCTCCGTGTCACTCAGTGAGCTGAGTGTATCAACTTAAGAAAAGCCTGAATCCTCCACTCCTGTCTTGTCTGCGAATGAAGGAAATGGGGGAAAGAGGTCATTGGCCATACTTGGCACAAAGGGTGGGGAGTCTGAAGATGGAGCAGACCTAAAGGGTCACCTGATAGTGATGTGCTCCTTTTGAACCCTGGCGTGACAGATGGGGGAGGCGCTTATACCGCTGTGCCAGCCTCCCCAGGAGGTGTGTTTCTGAGCAAGATGGGGGTGTACACAGAGGGATTGCTGAAGGAACTAACCATGCAGTGCCCAGACACGGTCACACACAGTACTCACTCAAGGCTAAGTCTCACCCAACATTTGCCGCCTGGTTCTGACAATGGTCCCTGACAACCCTGTCTTTTTAGGCCATGGAGGGCTGAATCAGCTAGGAGGGGCCTTTGTGAACGGCAGGCCTCTGCCGGAAGTTGTCCGTCAACGCATTGTGGACCTGGCCCACCAGGGCGTAAGGCCCTGTGATATCTCTCGCCAGCTCCGTGTCAGCCATGGCTGTGTCAGCAAGATCCTTGGCAGGTAAGCACGAAATTCACCACACACCACCTTCCCGGCAAGGCTCCCTTTCTGTGGTCAACCTCACAGCTGCAGGCCCACGCAGCACGTGACCTTGTGCTTTTCAGCCCACAGCTTTCAGAGTACCTGTTAGAGAAGCAATGAGAGTGTTTGGTGAAATTCACAGCCCAGCCCTACTGAGTCAGCCTCTCAGCGAGGCCTGTGGCTTTTGTAAGATGGCCGGGAAACACGAACCTCAGAAGTAGGGATGACCCAGTGTGGTGGCTCACAGCCCTGGCTGTGCCAGGAAACTCTAAACTCTCACAATAAATAAGGTCAGGGTCTAGGCCAGAGCACAGATCATAGAAGGGAATGGACTCAAATGTATGCATAGCAGTAGCCTGCACCCCACCCACACCATTCAAATTCTTTCATTCAGGGCTGAGAACCACAGGGCACAGGTTCAGAAGGACAAGGAACACTAAAGCCTTTGACGCTTCCATCAGAAATGTCCTTTAAGTAGAGAACTTGGGGATTCCAAAGTTGCATGTCCTGTCAACCTTACTGGCCAGCGGGGCGCCCACAGACCCTATGTAAATTCAAGGGAAACTCTGCCTCAGTAAAGGGGCTGGGCTGATTGGCCATGGAGAGTCCTGGCTCTCTGCCTGAAGCTATTAGAGGAAAGAGGCCTTTTCTTAGGGCCAGGGAGAGTATTAGTCAGATGATTGTGGAGTCCCAGAGAGGAGACAAGCTCTGATTGGCCATGACAATGGCGTTTTCTTAAAGACCATTGTATTCATTGGCAGAAGAGACCGCAGAAGACCAAAGATGGCCAGAGGGCATCTTGATCAAGCTATGAATCTGTCAGCCAGCTCCTTGTGGGGTGGAGAGGTCTGGAGGGGGAGGAGGCTCATCTTCAGGGGCTGAATCAGGCCAGGGATTCAAAGTGAGGCTGGACTTCGGAGTCTGGGAGAAGCAGCTTCAACTTGAACCATGGAACCTGGTAGAAAACCAGAGGGCAAAGGGTGAGAGGGACGGCTCAGACTTGGACAAGGCAGAAGTGGCCCAGCAAGACAGCAGAAGGGTCCGTGACAACAGCTGGCTTGCCTGGGTGAGGCCAGGAGAGCAAAGGGGTAGAGTCAGTCGTGCCAAGAGAAGGTGGATGAGAGAGAGAAGAGCCACTGCAGGCCTGTGACTTCCCAGTGTCCTTTCTTACAAGGGAGGTCTTTGTGTTCTTTCTGATGCTGGCCAGGGGCAGAAGACGGAGAACCCAGCAGGAAGTCTTTGCAGAGGGGCTTGGCTTTAGTAGCAGCATGAATCTACCCAAACCAGAGGAGTGGATTGCTGGAGAGAAAGCCAGTGTTAGGCTGAGCAGGAGTTGGGGGAGGGGCGTGTCTCACTCCTACACCTCTCCTGTCTCCTCGGGAGACTCAGAAGGGTCAGAGGCTCTGGCCAGGTCCCTGTTGAAAGGCCCCACCTGCTTATCCGGTGATTTGGGGGGGGGTTCTCTATTGGAGTAGGTACTACGAGACTGGCAGCATCCGGCCTGGAGTGATAGGTGGCTCCAAGCCCAAGGTGGCCACCCCCAAGGTGGTGGAGAAGATAGGGGACTACAAGAGGCAGAACCCTACCATGTTTGCTTGGGAGATCCGGGACCGGCTCCTGGCGGAAGGTGTTTGTGACAATGACACTGTGCCCAGTGTCAGCTCCATCAACAGGTGAGAGACAGCAGCGTCCGGGGACCTCCTAGACCCCTGGGTTCTGGAAGATTCCTGTAAGAAACATGAAGAGCCCGGCCTGGGTAGAGTAGAGTAGGGGTCTGGGGAGAGGCCTTACTTGGAAGAATCAAGCAGGGGCTCCCAGGCTCCGCACACGTTGTCACCGCCCGCCCCCAGTCCTCTCTTGTTCCTGCTGTGGAACCTCCCTCTGTCCCCACACAATGTTGTCCTGTATCTTGTTTCCTTCCCTAAACACCGTATCCTCTTTCAATCTGCCAAAGAAGCTTCCTGGCTCTCACTGGAGTACTTGGTCACTTGCTCACCAATCATCTGTTCACTGCCTCCATCGCTCATTTACTCACTCATTCATTCCTTCACACACCATTCATTCATTCATTCTGCATTAGTTCCCAGAACACAGAAATACCCTGTCCTTCTGGAGTTTACAATCTAACGGGGGGGGGAACACAGACATAAGAGTACCCGCAAGAACATTGCAAAAATGCAGCTACTTGTCCTGCCGAGGCTAGGCATGTGGGCTAGCCTCTGGTAACTTGTTTTAGGGAAATTATGAAGGCCTTTCCCTAAGTAAGAAGCAGTGAGTAGGAATTAGCTAGGTGAAAAGGGTTGTCGGACGGACTCTGCAACTACATACAAAAGCCTGTGGCAACTGAGAGCTTGGACAGGAGAAGTGAGAGAGCCAATTGACAGGAAGAGCCTGAGGTGCACCGAGCATAAGATGCCAGAAGAAACTGTCCCCAAGAAGCCTGTGGTCACTGGAACAGATTCCTGCCTCTAATGCTTGTGCAGTGGGCATTTGTACTTGAGAAAGATCACTCTGGCTGAAAAGGAGAGAAACAATTAGATAGAGTGTGTGTGTGTGTGTGTGTGTGTGTGTGTGTGTGTGTGTGTGTGTGTGGTCACTTCAGGACTCTGGAGGAACAGAGCAGATGGTGGGGCACACGCTCAGACATTAACAACGAGACACAAAACGGTATCAGTTCTGGGGAGGCTATCAAGGTCAAATCTACAGAGGCCTGATGAGCTGCATCTGTATTTCTGGTCTTGACACGGGACGTGGAGAAACTGGTGAATGAGGTGAGGTCATAGCTCAGTGGTCGACTCGTTGAGTTGGAGACACATGTAAGACATCTAAGTGGCTTGTCGTAAAGGTGACTGGGTCCTGGACAGCCATAGCTCCTGTGTCATCCTCTCTCTAACAGTCCTTCTGCTTGCTCACAGAATCATCCGAACCAAAGTGCAGCAACCATTCAACCTTCCCATGGACAGCTGCGTGGCCACCAAGTCTCTGAGCCCAGGACACACACTGAGTGAGTGCTCAGGGGTTTGGCTGCTCCCACAACTTTGAATGTAGACCGATACAGACACACAAGAACACATGAGTGCTCATATTTTCATCTATGGACTGAATTATTACCCCGAGATAACGTCTACTACCGCACTCGTGGGAGACTCCCAAGAACATGGGGAAATAGACAAACGTCATCCTGGGAATCCCTCCCACCAGCATGCCCTTGGGGGGAAGGACTTAGCTCTCCAGGGCCTCTGTCCACAGCATGGCCTGCTGCTTTGAGCTCATGGTGGCAATAGGGGGCTGTGGGACTATCGTTTCCCATTTCTGACCTTCTCCTTATTCCTTTGCAGTCCCCAGCTCAGCTGTGACACCCCCAGAGTCACCCCAGTCGGATTCCTTGGGTTCTACCTACTCTATCAACGGGCTCCTGGGAATTGCTCAGCCTGGCAGTGACAACAAGAGAAAGATGGATGATAGTGAGTTCTCTGGGGACCCATGGGTGGCATGAGGCACAGGAGACCACTTTGTTTAAGCTTTGATTGGAAGATAAGCCTTCCCTTTGACCCGGGATGGGGTAGGGCTCTGAAACCCCCTATCCATAGGAGCCCATGCTGACCCTTTGCCTACCTCCTCAGCCCATCTGCTCCTCTGCTTTGGCCACTTGGTCAGGCAGCTTGGAAGAGGGGTCCCCTGAAAGCTTTCTCCCTGCCTGCCTGGGGGCACTAGGTGACCAGGACAGCTGTCGGCTGAGCATCGACTCACAGAGCAGCAGCAGTGGTCCCCGCAAGCACCTTCGGACAGACGCCTTCAGCCAGCACCACCTCGAGCCGCTTGACTGCCCTTTTGAGAGGCAGCACTACTCGGAGGCCTATGCCTCCCCCAGCCACACCAAAGGCGAGCAGGTAAGAAGGCAGGGTGCGGGACATAGGCAGGTTAGGCAAGGACCAGAGCAAAGTATGAACTCATCAAAACAAGTCCAAATTGCCCCTACGGGTTCAGGGTACACACTTGATACAGTATCCAACTGCGCACACGATGTCTTGCTGCCGCCTCCCTCTTCTCACAACCCGAATCTGAACTCTCAACCTAGTTCTTGCATGCAGGGCCATCCTTTTGCCACCCACACCTGGCTTTCTCCAACAATAGAATGGAGCCCGCAATTGGAGTTAAGGCTCACACCCTTCTTACGATGACTTTAATACCACACCTAGCCCCGCCTCCACAGCCTAGGATTCTGTGTGACTCATGTGCTCAAGTGGACCGACCTCATCCCCACCTCCCTGCCCTGGTACACCATGTGCCCTCCTCATAGAATGCCTTTCTTCTCACTGCTCTACCTGGAAAAATACCAGCTGACTGCAATGACTCAGCTCAATCACCCTCTCCGTGAGTTTGTCCCTGCCCCTCACCTATGATGCATGCCTCCCAGCCCCTGCAGCCTTCTATTGGTTTCTATTGACTTCACAGTTCATCCTAATAGTCTAAAGGCAACAGACTTCTTAAAGACAGGGCAGCCTTTTGAGGCATCCCTGCCCCCATCTCCATAGCCTAATAGTATTATTATTAATTATTATTACTTTTTTGTGGTGATGGAGATCAAACCCAGGCCTTCACACATACTGGGCAATCCCTCTACCTTTGAGTAGTGTCCCAAGCCCAGGATTTTAATGGCTACTCAACAAAGATATATCAAACAAATGAAACAATGAATCGATTGAGAATCCAAGAACGATAAGACACAGCTACAGGGAACATTCCCCTCCATATCTTAGGCATGGAGAAATGGGTTATAATGGAATGGCTTCTGTAGAAAGCAGACAGAGATGTGAACATTCCCACAGTGAGGCTAACAAATACCCCATAATGCTAACAACCACTTGAGATATGTTTAATATGCCGATGGTTCCAATGTCTGTCTCTCTTCATCCCATCTCGTCATATGGCTCAGGAAACTCTTTGGGGCATGGCCTATCACTCCTCTTGGCTTGAGGCAAGCCTATAAGTACACCTTTAAGACCAGAGGGAGACAAAGATGATGCTAACAAGCAGTTGAAACATTGCCAATGAATGGCTGGGCTGCTGGCCCTGTGCCAACCCCCACAGCTGGGTAGGCAATATGCGTCAGTGATTTTTATCAGCCTTGGGTATGACAGCTGTGAATGGTGTAGACAAAGTTGGCTATCAGCAGACCCAGGGAGAGGGCCTGGGTGCACATCTGATAATCAGAGCATGGCTCCAGGAGGCAAGTGTTGAACCTGCAGGAAGCTCGTTCTATGGTGGTGAACCTGCAAAATGTAATGTGCATATATATACTAGTTACCCGTGGAGAATGGTGGAGCCCTAAGGTCCTAGAGCCATTTCCCCAGCTTTATCTAGAAGTCCTCCAAAGGACCTTTCTTGGTTAGAGTGAACCCTTGTGCCATGCTGGTGGGTATGCATGGAGGATCTCACTTAGGATGGGAGACTCTTAGAACTACAGGAGACTTGGTGCCCACTCACCCTAGCTTTTCAATTTGTACGAGAATTACTCAGGGCATGGGAGGACTTGGGGAAGAAGATGATTGCAGAGTTTACGGCTGCCAACCCGAGTTTCATTCATATGGATTGATCCACCCTTACCTATTTTGGACACGGCAATCCCATGGGCGTTCTTCTCCCGCCTCTTGGTTTGGCTCTTTGTTTTTTGTTTTTGATTTTTAGACAGGGTTTCTCTGTATAGCCTTGGCTGAAACTGGCTTTGTAGACCAGGCTAGCCTCAAACTCACAGAGATCCACCTGCTTCTGCTTCCTGTGTGCTGGGATTAAAGGTGTGTGCCAGGGTGTTCTTATGTAAAGACTAATAAAACAAGAGCATTTGAAAATCATTAAGCTTCTTTAACTCTGAAGTCAAGAGGAGTAAAGTGAAGCCCAACCCAGTGTCCCTCAGCTATTCCTTACCTTCTGAATTCATTCACTCATCAGGCTGGATCGTGGAGAACACCCAGCCTAAACCTTGCTCTTTTGCTAATTTGTGTCTGTGCTGCCCCAAAGGAAACTGCTCCTTCATCCAGGCACATAAAGCTTTGTGTTTGGGGGAGACAAGGTGGCCTTAGCACGGAACAAAGACATACACTTCTTCTCTGGAAAATCAACAAGGGTGAAAGTGACCTCATTTCTCACTGCAGTGTCACCCCCAGGGGCTGTTAGAAACCTGTGTAGCTCTTCCTCTGTATTTGAAGCCTACCACCATGTGAATCAACAAGAATGAGAGAGAATGTTAAAGACAGGCCAAGAACGTGGCAATTACTGCATCTTCCTATAGTAGTAAAAATATGTCTAGTATCACTTCTTGCTGAACATCTGTGCTTGCTGAGTACTCTGTGCCCAGCAACACTTTATTTAAAATCATAAATAATGTTTAATCGGTCTTGTGCAGCAGATTATAGGACGCCTATCCTTAAAGGTAGGAGGGGAAAATCAAGACCCAGAGAATTCAAACAGATCTCAATTCCCTGCAGATTGTTGCAGAATGAAAACTAAGTCGATTCAGTTCTAAATCATTATGCTCTCCTGCCCCCAATTCAAGTTCAAGCCCAGAAAAAAAAATCCAGTCATCATAGGCATGTCTAAGATATTAAACGCAACACTAGCCAAATCTCCAACTATATACCTCTCCTTTTCTCTTTGGCCTGGATCTGGAACAGAAACTTGATTTTGAGTGAGTATTTTGCTGTCAAATCAACACATTCACAAGACATTTCAAACTTTTCTTACACTCTCTAGAAATTAGGTTTTTTTGTTCAGTTTCATTAGAATCAGCTAGCTCTGAGCAACTCCACCCTGCCTCTAAGTAGGCCCCCTCGGAAGAAGGGAACTGGAGTGCTATTTAGTCAGTAATTGCTGCTACATGCTGATGGTGCCCTGGTGGCCTCCAGAATTGACGGCAGCTTCCAAAAGTGCCCTGTATGCAACCAGAAAGTGCTGTAACTCCTTGGAGAACTGAGCTCAATGGAAATCACTGAAAACAATCGTCTTCAGCAGAACTGTTATATAACCATGGAATGCTCCTTGGTTCCAGTCTCGTACAACAGTTCCTACAGTACTTTTGTGAAATGTGGGGCCCGTGTGTGGAGTGGGTGTGAGCTGTCTTTCCCTGGGAAGAACAGCAGGGAGCCAAGGGGAGGCTTGGCCGTACTCATGTCGTTAGCCTGACAAATGATTTACTCAAGGGGTGCCTTAGGCCATGGCCATGCTCCTACCAGGGAATACAAGTAGGAGTTGAAATAAGCTCTTATTGAAGATGACCCCAAGTGCTTGATGGGATTTTTGAGACAAAATGAATCCTATGGATCTTTCAAGGTGAAACTAAATGCTTCCACTTGCACATGTAATGTAAATCGGACGTAATCTCACTGGCTCTCCTCACTGGGTTGCTCAATAAGAATGATAGCAGCAAACTCCGAATGAGAGCAAGTGTAAGAAGTGATGGCTGCTATCGGTCAGGGGCAACAACTGATAGTACAAGCACAGGAGCCTGAATCCTTGCTTTACCCCCCAGGAGAAGGGGTGAGTTTCTCCAGCTATACACTTGCATTTCCTATCTAAGTCGGAATCGGTTATCAGAGAGAAAGACTCTGAGCAGCCCCACCCGCTCCCTGCTCCAGTCCTAGGCAATGTCCTATGTTATGGGTCCAAAACATACGAAGAAACAGGAAGGAGAGCAGCACCCAGTCAGGACACGATCCTCTGATGGCCACTCCCTGTCACATACCCAGCTTTCTATGCCAGTGATAGGCCTTGACTTCTGAAGCTTGGAAGGGGGAGCCCTAAGCCAGGTCCTCAGAGGTTTTCAGGTCTTTGAGTGGGAGAGCATGGCCCCATCAAACATGCCATGTTGAGCTAAGAGAGAGCAAGAAGGAAGGGACAATGAGCGAGGAGCTTTTCCTGGGGACACCGGTGCTACGACCCAGTCCAGAGACGGACAGTAGGGTCAGCAGGAAGACAGGCTTGCTCAGGGAGGGGCCTTGCTCTCCCCTGCTGACTTCTCTTTGTTCTCCAGGGGCTGTACCCACTGCCCTTACTCAACAGTGCCCTGGATGATGGGAAGGCCACCCTGACACCTTCCAATACACCCCTGGGACGCAACCTCTCGACTCACCAGACCTACCCGGTGGTGGCAGGTAGGATGCCCAGAGGCTCCTGAGCCATCTGGACCCTACTGTGAGGGTCAGGATGGGCTTGGGGCAGGGGAAGGCAGAAGTGTCTGGCTGGCAGGAGGAAGGTGTTTGGGGTGCTGGCCTGGAAAGGAGAAGTGGGCGATGCTGACCGGGCCTCACAGTGGAGCATGGGGGTGGCGCCTTCAGTCTTTGGTGCCCCCTGAATCTCCTGGCTCCCCCTTGCAGGGAGGGGCTGTGCACACACATACTTCAGTCTCCCCATCCATCTACACTGGCAGAAGGCTCATCAGGGAGGTAGCGCCTCCAGCTCCCCCATCTCATTCCATCTGAGGAACACCCCTGCTCCCCATCCTGGACTCCTACAGCAGCCAGGCCTGCCTGTCCCCATACCCTCGCCCCATCTCATGGCTTGGTTTGTGCATGTTCCCGCCCCATCATCTCACACCCCTCTCTCCTTGTTGTCTCCCTCCCTCCGGCAGATCCTCATTCACCCTTCGCCATAAAGCAGGAAACCCCAGAGCTCTCCAGTTCTAGCTCCACCCCTTCCTCTTTATCTAGCTCCGCCTTTTTGGATCTGCAGCAAGTCGGCTCTGGGGGCCCAGCAGGTGCCTCGGTCCCACCCTTCAATGCCTTTCCCCATGCTGCCTCGGTGTACGGGCAGTTCACGGGCCAGGCCCTCCTCTCAGGTATGAAAGGGAGGTCCTGGGCTCTGTAGTGTCGTGGGGTGGGAGGGAGAAGGCCATCCCAAAGTCTTCTGGTCTGAGACTACTCTCATCTTCAGCTCAAATCTAGCCCACCACCACCCTAGTCTCTAATTTATTTAGCACATGGGTCTCTCCCTGTGGGAGAAGTCAGGAATCAAAAAACCATTTCTGGGGTTCCAGCAAGTGGGATATATCACTTCAAAAGCCTTTGAGAAAATGGGGACCCATACAGAAGACCTAGGTGCTGTAAAATGCGAACCTTTTTTTTTTTTAATTCAAGAAGAAACAAAGACAA